TTCCAAACGTGTCAGCTGTAGATTTGTCTTCTTCAAAAATCAATTGTTCACAAAAAATACTAGTTTTAGTAAAACTAATGGATTACTTAAAATATTGTGATAATAATGGCGATTATGTGAATAAATATCAGTTAATTGTAGTAATTCATAGGGATAACAGTTTTATGCATTTTTAAAAACATATTCAGAATATAGTCACATTCGCAAGGGTTAGTGAAGAAACATCCCTTTTTCATGTAAAGCACTTTGTGTTGCATTGTGTTTGAGGAAAAGTGTTGTATGAATAAAGTCTGATTGATTCGCAAATTCGCAAATATGTGGACCCACCCCCCCCCCCCCACAAACGCAACCCAAAATGGCTCAGAAAAGTTTAAAAGTTAGTGTTGGAAATGCGATATTCCACAGTGACAAAGACAGCTAACAGACAGGTTACCGAGACAAAAATGTGTGGCATACCAAGTACATAATACCAAACATAACTTTTAATATTAAACATATAGTATGCACTTAAACTAACAAACCTTAAATAACAGTAACATTTATATATCATTTTATGTGATCTAAATCATTTTCAGTATTGTTTATATATTTTTGGCTTAAGCGTTGTCTGCAAGTTTCTGCGATATTTTGGCAAACTCCAAAAATATCCCCATTTAATTGTTCACAGCCAGCTCAGAAATAACAGAAACCGTGAACGTCAAATTCACTAATGTGGAAGGGCAACTCTACAGGAAAAAAGCATCTAAATATATTGCAGTCCCCAATTCTGCATTTAGTTGCATTCATGTTGTGCCTGCTACCTTTGTGTGATTGTGTTGATATTGTCTTTTCTTGTCTTTTTTTTCCCTTTTCCTTAGTTGTTTTTGACCTTGTTAAAATGCATGTGCAATTCCTTGGATTTGATCAATTCCTTGGTTAGCGGATGCTATAGCTCTTTGGAGATGTCTCACTATGCAAGTGAAGCCAGTGTTGCATGGGGAGCATATTTAACATCACAGCAAGTCTGGTTTTTGTTAATAAGTCAAACCCTGGACAGGCTCTGGGCTCCCCATCACCCTATACTGGATAAACAAATGCATGATGGATGATTGTGTGTCAAATACAGCTCAAAATAGACCATAGGTATTTATTCATAAGTACAGTATGTGTAATGGTCAAATAGTCCCGGGTCTTTCTTGCATCTCCTAGTTAGATTCCCATGGTCGGCATCGCTTGTGTGGTGGTCTGGGAGAGGGGGGGATGGAAGGGATGGGGACTATTCCAAACTATAGAGGCATGTCACTACAAAGACCCGTGGGGAACGCAGAGTCCTGTGGTCGCAGGTGCCCCAGTATTTTGCCCTCACGGCAATGCCTGCCGGCTTAAGTCATTCCGCTCTTTTTTGGGGACTGCTTACATCACTCTCGGGTCCATCTTACTGTGGCTGTCTGGCTAACTCATCACCCGAGGTGTTTACAGATGCCTTGGCTGGTGGCAGTGTTAGGATGGCTTCTGAAGGTTACTGCGGGCTACGCAGGCCCCTGAACACCTGACCTCTATCATATGCCCCCCTCCCCGGCAGCCCTCTTTAGAAGGGATCTTACACTTCTCATTAGCTTCAAAAAGCCATGCTGTCAGCCTGAGGTGAAATCCAGCACCCACCGGCTACTTGCCCCCACGTGTGTTGGGCCTCACTGTGATTTCTGTGAATGCGGCTGTGGTGTGTGCTCATAAATACGCTAGCCTTTATTAGCTACATGTCAGTCTGGTGGGCCCACCACTGACAAGCAGGATTTAAGTCTATATAGTGTGTGCGTGACTCTGTGTGTGTGTGTGTGTATATATATATATATATATACACATACACACATACACAGTACTGAGCACAGCACTTGTTCTCCAAAAAGTTGCATGGCTAGATTTTCAGGTGCACCTCAGATATTTCACGTATTTCTTCAATTTCACCACCAGCTCACTGACTTACCATGAGATATTGATTAGCTGGACGAGGTGTGCTGTCGAAAAATACGTGGGTGTATTGAATGGTTATTGCATTGGGGTGATTTTAGGAGAAGTTTTGAAATGGCTAAGCCGGCATACCTAGACAGGCATAATAGCATAGTTTTACACCAACATGAAGATTAATTAAACAAAAAAACATTATTTTCTTTGGCTGCCTATGAGTTTTACACAATACATATACATAATGTATGTGTATATTTTTATATATATTGAAGAAACGCCTTCCCTGTTGTAGCTCTGAGTGTGCTTGGGCTTATTTCTGAGGTTGTACAGCATAGCGTCTATTTCAAAGTGTGCACCATAAGAACATGTATATGTGTGTACTATAAAGGACAATCACATGGTCAGTGTCCCCTACATCACACTTGCAGCACTATTCATTGCATGGTTTGCATCGGGACTGTCAGCTGAAGAATGCTCCTGCTTGCCCTTAGACCTTGCAGCAGCGATGACACGCATGCATGACAGACGATGTACTTGGGCCAATCAGGCCTGCCGAGTGGATCCATTTTAAACCTGGATTCCAACCAACGGAGGATAGCATGAAGTAGGGTCCCACTTCGCATGTTTGCCAATGCAATGTCCTGTCAGCGTTGTTCCGTCTGCTCTGTCCTTCACTTTACACTTCTTTGCCAACGGCCTGCCCATCGCTGGGGGGTATTAGAGAAAACTCTTTTGTAAACAAGTTCTCAGCTGTTTGTGCATAGATGAGGTCTCTCATGTGACACTTTTTCAAGGTTCCATCAGAACACGGACGAGCTCCCTGATGTGAGTAATGCCAAGGGAACCAGGACTATCAGTCTGCTTTCTTCATTGGTATACGTGAAAATATGGCTCGTCTACCCAGACTCCTGCAAAAAATATCATCTGTCGAAGCCAATATCAAAGCAGCAAAATTCCAACAATGGCATCTATGTGCTTTGCTCAAAACTTTCTGGCTAAAAAGGTGATAGATTTACAGCAATTGGTTCATTTTTCAGCTATTTCAAGTATCTGCTTAACAGATTGTTGAATAGATTTTATGATAAGACAGATGGTTCTTCTGCATGGTCAAGGAATGAAACGTTTTCAGCTCGGTAGATCAAATTCAGTATGTCATTGACTTTCTTTTGAAAGAAAAATAAATTGTACAACAAAAGATATTTTCACATATCTTAGTGTTTTGCTGGCATCACTTAAAAGGTGTCACAACAGCAAATAGGTCTTAACAAGCCAAAGATGTCGAACTAAACTTGAGCATGAAAAATGCAGCAAGTTGTTTGTGCTGATGGTAGATGAAAAACACGGCGAGTGTCTTGCCTGCTTTAAGCAACTGGCAGGATGATAATCTGACCTCTTGTTATTCTGTAAGTACTTCTTGAATGCCAGTGGTTTGAACAGACCAAAGAACATACATATGTGAAACCAAGTGCCCTTTGTAAGTCACCATACAAAGTTTGTGTGAGTGATTTCACCATCAGATGGGAAGAAGAGCCATTGCATGATGATTAATTGAAAGTGACCATGAACTGGATAAACTGCGGCAGGTTGAATGGGGCAATTCTAAGCTGGAGTATGAACGTAATCCAGAGCTGAAGGTGCAGCCGCTGCAAGGGGAGCCTAGGCATGTGAGGGCACAGTCCCCTCTGCCGGGTGTGCGAGCCCCGTCTCTCTCCGAGGCTCGTTAATGGTTTGATTGACACGATGGGATGGTGTGCATTTCATTGATGAGCATTTCAGAGGCCAGGCTTGTGATCTCCTTTGCTGATCAACACGTCACCCTGTAGCTATCCTGGGGATACGTGAGATCAGTTTGAAATACCCTGCCTTTTCAGCCCCGGAGTCAAACTCCTGGCCCAGGGGCACTGACTCACACCTGACTCTGCTGAAGACGTGGCTGAAGGTAAACGACACAAAACGTTACTTGTTTATAGTCATCACTTTTTCAAGTTGCATTAGGAGGTTCTGTGGATAATAAACCACAGGCTGCATTCACTTTTTGACAAATTTTGCCCTAAGCGTGATGATGTCTGTTTGCCTAATTTTACATTATTTTAATCTCTGAGCTGGTGTGTTTTTTATTTGCAACAGAGCAGACTAATGCAGTTGTGCCTGTTTGTGACCTTGCTCATACTGAAATCACAATCTGCTTATTCTTTGGAAGATAACACCAGGCCTGCTTACATCCTAATATTATTTACCACTTCTTTTAAAATGAGAATATTATATTGAATATATTAATGAAGCGTGATAGGAGTTTTTAATATGAAACAAAAGATTGCAGTGAGAAAGGTGAAAAAGTGCTGCTGCACTTAGCAAACACCCTATTCTGAGGGTTTGTCTAAAGCTGGACCTGTGCCACTGTGAAAGACGCTGTTTGTTCTTCATCATAATATATTCTATTAGGCCATGAATTCCCGTTATTGACTCCTGTGCTAATCCTAGTGTCTCTCCATTATAATACATGTGCAAATCGCATTGCTTTGATCAATAATAAAAAAAACAGGTTCATTTTTAGATAACATTTGAGGTGGATTGTTGCTTATGTGTTGGGTGCACGTGCTGAGTTGAGGAATGGGTTTCTAATGAATGATACGAGAGTCTGCATGAAAGCAGCCCTGCCAGATCAGCCTGGATCTCTGTCAAGTGGCCCTCTTCATTCAGATGTGCTGACCTGCCTGATTTTCAGCATTGACCTTAAGATGTGTGACTGGAGGTAACAAACTGCCTGAAATTTGCATCACGTCAGACCAGACATTGAGCTGTTTGATTTAATCCTCAGCCTAATGGTGTGGGCTGGGTGCTTCTAGCCCAAGGTGGGTGGGGGCCTTTCAAATGCGTTCCGGAGAGCGTGTGTTATCTCTTCTCCTCGGCGTGTACCATCCAACCCTGTGCGTTGTCCGGCCAGATTTGGCGGCAGCTCAAAGAGAATGCTGGGAAATGTGATCCATATGGTGGCACTATAAAGCCCGACCCACATGTGAGGCTTGACCAGAAGCTACCGAGCCCACGCTCACCACCTTCCACTTGGTCTCCACTCTTCGCAGCTACAGCACCGCCTCGACTGACCTAGGGGTCCCCTGGCACGCCTGACGTTTTCCCCAAGTGGATACTGAAAAGGTATTTTGCTGTCAGGCGGGTGGTCATCACATGTCCAGCTCTCACTTTACGGGATCAATAATGCGTGATACTAACGACTAATCAGTTTAGAAAACACCCTACTGACTAAGTCAACAACTGTTGCATGCATAAGTGTAATAAGTGTGCCTTTTGTGAACATGCATGTTCTTTCTGTCAAGGGAAGCACTCTTATTAAAGTGTTTCCCTGGGTCTTTCTCTCTTCCTTGAAGAGCTCTGGGGGATTTGCTATGAAAGTGCTGTACCATGTGGCATTGCTGCTCCTGTTTGGGGGGCTGAACTGCCAAAGTAACCGCAATACCAAAGCTGGTAGCAAATCACCCAGGAAGACTGGGGGCCAGCAGGGGGGCGAGGCGGCCTCTGAGGATGAGGCCCACCCCGTGACAGCGGGCCCCGGAGGCCGAGGAGCCTCCGGCAATAAGGCCAGCGATGACATGAAATTGAACTTCCTCAAGAACACACAGGTCACCTGCAACGACGGGACGGCAGCTGGGTGAGATACCCCTCCACTTGCTGGAGGACTGTACAGTCCTCAAAAGCTAACCTTAAACCCAAATCCCATTTCAGTTATTTTACACGAAATTTATAAAATGTTCTGCTTTACTTGTAGTTTAATTGAAAGTACTAGTTCCAACATGGATTTATAGCATATTCCAGTGGTTTATATCGCAACATATCCCCGTTGGTGTTCTGTAGGTTTTACTTGAAGGAATTCAGAGGAAGCAAACGATGGCTCATATTTTTGGAAGGTTAGTATTGTTCATTTACTGCTTATTTGTTCAAAAGCACTATTGAAATATTTTAATTTGTATTTTAGTCCTATTGTTAACAGTTAGCCTTGTTCAGTGAAAATATGAATTTTCAAAAATTTATCCAAGTGTTATCCTAGTCCAGAAGTGAACTAGCCTTATTTAGTTACTTGATAATCAATCACAGTATCCCCTATGGTTACAGTTCAGTGTAGGCCCATCCTCTAAGCATGAGCAGTTCTAGGCAGGTGCAATCGCAGGTGCAATCGCAGGTGCAATCGCAGGTGCATTCCTTGGCCGGACCTGAGGGGGTTAGCTGGAGGGCTGAATGGGATCTCCTCTTTGCAGTCTGCTTAGGATAATATTAGCATCATATTTTTAGGTGGCTGGTGCTGCTACAACAAAGAGACCTGCGACTCCAGATACAAAAATTTCCCTCGGCTCATGAGCTCATCGGAGTGGCCCCAGACACGAAAAGGTTGGCTGATAGGCTCTCATACTGTTTTGGCCAGTGATACTTGTTTCTCAGTAGATGACTGTATCCTGTGTTGCAGTCAACCTTTCCCTGTCCTGATGATTATTTTGCTACATGTCTAAGTGGTGTTTTGCTTGAAACACTGTACAGGTACTGGAATCCTTTCAGCACAACCTGAAGAAAATCCTCACTGGTGGAATGCCAATATTGTGTAAGTTCGTGGAAAAAAAATTATTTGATCCAATACTCCAGATCAGGTTCAAGTTCATCATAAGATTCAAGTTCATGTGTCTGTGTCCTTCATTGAAAGACAGTGACTCATGCTGATCCCAAAATGCCTCATAATGTGTTCTGAGACAAGTTTATCATTCCAGATTTGTTCCATACTGCTCCAGCGATGTGTGGAGTGGAACTGCACCGCCCGCAAAAGCTCGACAGGGAAAAGATACGGGTATATGGCTGTCACCACAGACAAGTGTGTCATTTATGTAGAGATTTTGTGTTGTGACAGTCTTGTTTCTTACAGTTGAATATACCTTCATGGGCTCCCTTATTATCCGGGAGGTGATCAAAGATCTCACTCTCAAGGGCATCAAACAAGCAAAGGTCATCATGTTGGCTGGTACAAGGTAGGTCTCCTTGCCTGATTTATCTACATGCATATTGGCTTTTATGGAAATGTCATTGAAAATATGTAATCTAAAAATGATTTTAGTGGTTTATCGTTCAATGCCTGCAGGTTGACTGTTATCAAGCAGACAAATGTACTCTTGCAGGCAGACGAATGTATGAATCGAGTAGTTAAATGTACGAAGCAAGCAGACGAATGTACAAATTACAGAGGAGTGCCATCATTGTCATGACAGTGCGGGGGGTACAGGCGTGCTGCTGAACATCGAGAAGGTGTCTGCCCAGCTGGAGCAGCTGGGTGCAGAGGCACAGGTCCGCGGCCTGGTAGACTCTGGCTGGTTTTTGGAGAGTAAGCAGCAGAAGGCGCCTGAGTGTCCCGACAGTGTGTCCTGCACACCAGCAGATGCCATCAAGAAAGGCCTCCGGTAAGAAGATGTCAAGTGAGGACGAGCTCTCACTTCACAGGTCTGTTTGGTCTGTTTGTTTATGTTCGAAGGTAAAAAAAACAAAACTCAAATCACTCCCCAATGTTTTTCATATGTTCCCATGAATTATGACGGGGAAAGGAATGGGTTCTTTCCATGTTATGGGAATGTTTTACTGCACCTGCAGACTGTGGAACGGGATTATCCCAGAGAAGTGCCGCCAGCAGTATCGGAAAGGAGAGGAATGGCACTGCTTCTTTGGCCCCAAGCTCTACTCTTCCCTGTCCTGTATGTATAACTCGCCATTTACAGCACCTTTTCCTGCATGGCTGCTTAGAGCACTATTGGGTAAAGACAACCTCTTACACTTTTTCTCAGCCCCTCTATTTGTGGTGCAATGGTTATTTGATGAAGAGCAGCTGCGGCTGGAGAACATCTACCTGGGTGGGCAGTCCTTGTCAGAGCAGCAGTGGACCTACATGCAGAACCTGGGAAAGGAGCTCAAAAACTCATTCAAGGATGTTTCGTGAGTGTGATGCTCTTCTCTTTTGCAAAAAACCATCTGCTTGTGTTAACGCCCTTATAAATCAAAACATAACTAAGATCTCAATGTTTTCCAATAAAAAAAAATGTTTAAGAACTTGGATTTTGCATGTTCTCTCCATGTCATACAAGTTCCCACCTGAAGTTTGACAAAATTTTATCTCGAAAGTGCCCATAATTTGTGTCAGGGCATGTGTGTGTTTAAAAATGGGCTGCCATTGTCCAGGGTGTACCCCCCCCCCCCC